CTGGGGCGCATTCTGAGGGCCAAGGGGCGCAAGGAGGACCGCATGGCGGGCGGCACGGAGCACTACAATGCATTCTTCTACTCCCTGGTCTCGACCGACACTCAGGTGATTTTCCAGGTGGTTTCAACAATGTGTGATGAGACGGGCTCTGAGAGGCCAAGGGGCGGAAGGAGGACCGCATGGCTGGGGGCACGGAGCACTACAACGCGTTCTTCTACTCGCTGGTCTCAACCGACACTCAGGTGATTATTCAGGTGATTTCAACAGTTGTGCCTTGGCCCGGATTCAGAGGGCAGAGTTGCGGAAGGAAAACCTCATGGTGGGTGGCGCGGAGCACCACAACACGTTTTTCTACTTGTTGGTGTCGACCGAGATTCAGGTGATTCTTCAGGTGGTTTTAGCAAATGTGTGCTGAGGCGGATTCTGAGGGCCAAGGGGCGGAAGGAGGACCGCATGGCTGGGGGCACGGAGCACTACAATGCAGATCTTCTACTTGCTGGTTTCGACCGACACTGAGGTAAACTTCAGGTGGTTTCAACAGATGTGCATTTAGGCGGGTTTGGAGAGCCAAGGGGAGGAAGGAAGACTGCATGGCTGGGAACACGGAGCCGTACATTGCGTTCATCTACTCACTTTTGCCGATTGACGCTCAGGTGATTCTTCAGGTGGGGTCAACAAATGTGCGTTGTTTTGGTCGTTTTGAGATTACTCTTTCATTTGTTACCTTCAGGATGTAGCAGCTTCGCATGTTAACATATCCAATGTGTTTGTATGTGTTTATATGTGCTTGTGTGTGTGTGTGTGTGGTATGTGTTTTTATGTGCTCGTATGTGTGTGTTTGTATGTGTTTGTCTGGGTTTATGTGTGCTATGTGCTTGTACGAGCAGGAAATGTACTACTCGTCCAAGAGGCAACAATTCCTCATTGATCAAGGCTACTCCTTCAAGGTAACACTCTCTCGCACACACACTATTGCAGCCGCTCTGCTGAAATGTGACGGCTTTTTCCCAGCATATGCCATGTTCCACATGTCATGTGCCACATACCGTATACCATGTCCCATATGCCATATCCCAGATGCCAAGTGCCATGTCCCATGTGCCATGTGCCATATGCCATGTGTTATGTTCCGTCTCATCCACCAGCGCACCATCCACTCCCACCACTCATGTCATGCAGGATGTAGCATCCAGTAACAGCAGCCACCATCCCACCATCCACTCCCACCACCCCTGCCTGTCCATGCCATGTAGGTGGTAACATCGCTGCCCCCACCAGGGGAGGGGGATGATCTCTGCTACACGTCCAAGCAGGAGCAGCTCGATCTGCCATGTTCCATCTCATCCACCATCCCATCATGCACTGCCATGCCACCATCCCTCACCATGCACTCCCACCATCCCTGCCCATACCACACAGGTGGTAACATCGCTGGCCCCACCAGGGGAGGGGGATGATCTCTGCTACACGTCCAAGCAGGAGCAGCTCGATCTGCCATGTTCCATCTCATCCACCATCCCATCATGCACTGCCATGCCACCATCCCTCACCATGCACTCCCACCATCCCTGCCCATACCACACAGGTGGTAACATCGCTGGCCCCACCAGGGGAGGGGGATGATCTCTGCTACACGTCCAAGCAGGAGCAGCTCGATCTGCCATGTTCCATCTCATCCACCATCCCATCATGCACTGCCATGCCACCATCCCTCACCATGCACTCCCACCATCCCTGCCCATACCACACAGGTGGTAACATCGCTGCCCCCACCAGGGGAGGGGGATGATCTCTGCTACACGTCCAAGCAGGAGCAGCTCGATCTGCCATGTTCCATCTCATCCACCATCCCATCATGCACTGCCATGCCACCATCCCTCACCATGCACTCCCACCATCCCTGCCCATGCCCATACCACACAGGTGGTAACATCGCTGCCACCACCAGGGGAGGGGGACGACCTCTGCTACACGTCCAAGCAGGAGCAGCTCGATCTGCCATGTTCCATCTCATCCACCATCCCATCATGCACTGCCATGCCACCATCCCTCACCATGCACTCCCACCATCCCTGCCCATGCCCATACCACACAGGTGGTAACATCGCTGCCACCACCAGGGGAGGGGGACGACCTCTGCTACACGTCCAAGCAGGAGCAGCTCGACCTGCTCTCCACCGTGAGTGCCCTCGCCTGCACTGTAATCTGCACCGTCAATGCGTGATGCTTTTGAATCCACCTCTGCTGCACGTCCAAGCAGGAGCAGCTCGACCTGCTCTCCACCGTGAGTCAAATTGCTCTGTGCTGTGAGTGAACGTCACCAGTATCAGGCTTTCCGCATGTCAAGGCTTGATTAACTTGCGACGACCTCTGCTACACGTCCAAGCAGGAGCAGCTCGATCTGCTCTCCACCGTGAGTGCCCTCTCCCCGCCTGCGCACTGTGCTGTGAGTGAGGGAAAAGAGCTTTAGGCTTTATGCATGTGAGGCATTATCATCTTGATTTGAGTGTTGACCGTCATGATAGAACATTTGCCCTGTCCCTGCCTGAAATGCTCTGAGAGTATGACCATTCAATTACTATTTTGTGGCGCAAGGTACAGAGATCCTTCTCTCATTTCCGTCCCTGCCTGAAATGCTCTGAGTGGTGGGGGGGGGGGGAAGAGGCGTTGAGGGAGGAGGTACTGGCAGAGGAGAGGGCATTGACGATCTGAGCTACGTGCCTCGCTGCACATTCCGTCTCATTGATCCTTCCTTTCCTCCCCATTCCCTTAATTTTTCCTCAGGTCCTGAGTGCAGGCGACGAGGCACTGAGGGAGGAGGTGCTAGCAGAGGACTATGACGATCTGAGCCACGAGCCTCTCTACACATCTCCTCTCCCTGCCTGTCCCCTTTCCTTCCACCAGGTGTTGAGTGCAGGAGACGAGGCACTGAGGGAGGAGGTGCTAGCAGAGGACTTTGACGACCTGAGCCACGTGCCGACCATTGTGAGGTCCCCATTCTCATGGGTTTTTCCCTTCCCCCTCCCTCTTGCTCCTTCACAAGGTGCTCAGCACAGGAGACGAGGCACTGAGGGAGGACGTACTAGCAGAGGACTATGACGATCTGAGCCACGAGCCTCTCTACACATCTCCTCTCTCTGCCTGTCCCCTTTCCTTTCACCAGGTCCTGAGCGCAGGCGACGAGGCATTGAGAGAGGAGGTGCTAGCAGAGGACTATGACGATCTGAGCCACGTGCCAACCATTGTGAGGCGCTCCGCTGCTTCCATGAGTGCCATGTCTGGGGCGCAGGGGCGCTCTTACATGGAATTCAGGTACAGTGGGAAATGAGCGCAGGGATGTGGATGTATGAAAAAGGCATGTGGGTCGATGGTAGACCATCGTGAGACGCTCCGCTGCTTCCATGAGCGCCATGTCCGGCGCTCAGGGGCGGTCATACATGGAGTTCAGGTGGGTGACATGTGACGTGAGTATGGGAGCAGGTGGTGGGGTTCAGGAGCTGAGTGGAAGGCCTAGCTTCCATCAGCGCCATGTCTGGGGCCCAGGGGCGGTCGTACATGGAGTTCAGGTGAGTTACCTCCTACCAAGTACATATGGATCTATGGTCATGGCATGTGGGTCTGTGATAGACCATCGTGCGGCGCTCCGCTGCTTCCATGAGCGCCATGTCCGGCGCACAGGGGCGGTCATACATGGAGTTCAGGTGAGTCAGAACATAGTGCATGTGGATCTATGAATGCGTGGCATGTGGGTCTTTGGTAGGCCATCGTGCGGCGCTCCGCTGCTTCCATGAGCGCAATGTCTGGGGCACAGGGGCGGTCATACATGGAGTTGAGGTGAGTCAGAACATAGTGCATGTGGATCTATGAATGCGTGGCATGTGGGTCTTTGGTAGGCCATCGTGCGGCGCTCCGCTGCTTCCATGAGCGCCATGTCTGGGGCGCAGGGGCGGTCATACATGGAGTTCAGGTGGGTGACCTCCAAGTACATGTTGGTGTATGCTCATGGCATGGGTCTGTTTTTTACCATCGTGAGGGTCTTTTTCCGCTGCTTCCATGAGCGCCATCTCCGGACACGACTCAGGGGAGGTCATACACGGAGTTCAGGTACAATGGGACGGACATGAGCAGAGGGATTTGGATGTATAAATCAGGCACGTGGGTCTATGACAGACCATCGTGAGGTGCTCCGCTGCTTCCTTGAGTGCCTCGTCCGGCGCACAGAGGCGGTCATACATGGAGTTTTTAGGTGGGATGAGGGACGCGCATACATGGAGTTCAGGTGGGTTGAGGGGCATATGGGGTGACTCAAGGCCCGAATGCGGAGTGCAGTGACGGTGCAATGCAGTTTCTTCCGTTTCTTCTTTCTTGATTTCCCTCCCCTATCCCATTCTTCTCTTCCTGTTCGCATTCTTACCCTTGAGCAGCACTGGCAGGGGTGGGGGAAGGGGAGGGGCGGGAGCAGGGAGAGGGGCAAAGCCCAAGGAGCCAGCGAAGAGGCATTCTCTCTTCAAGCAGCGATACCGATAGAAGCACACTGCTTTGCAGCACTAGCACCGGTGACGTACACTGCTTCACAATATTGGTGTTAGTAGTGGCACGGCACACTTCCATCAACGCTGTTGATCAAAGGAATCTGCATTGCAGTTGTGGCCTTGTTTGTGGTACTGGTATGAGGATTTCATAAATTACAGCAATGGAGGGCTACTCTTGAGTGGAACAGTTGTTCCAGAAAGCTGTACTGACTTGGTGTGACACTGCTGCGCCAAAGAAAAGCATCATTCATTTGCTGGTTCATACAAGATGTAATAACATGTTCGATTCTTCGTCCAGATGGGTTCATGTGATAAAGACTATTGTAATGAGTGATGACTGGCTTGTGTTAGAAAGAAACAAATGCATATAAATATGTTACAAAACCAGGTTCTAGAGGCATGCCATTCAGTGGCAGTCTAGTTACTCTGGCTCAGCCACAGCTGCTACCTACTCTAAACTCTAGCCAACTAATATTGTCTCAGCACACTGCTCATTCTCCGGAGAGTAACTCGGCTGCTAGAGCCAGTTATCCTTCGCCTGGCTCCAAACCTGCCGATGCCGAGGGAGATTCCTGATGCTGCAAGCTCCTCCCTCTCCTCCTCCTCTTCCTCATCCATATACAGCTGATTCATGTAGCACATTGTTCCAGTCGTAAGGGTCCTGAAACCTTGCTTGCTGCTGCCATCCTCTTCCTCCTCCTCCTCTTCCTCCCCACCATCACACCCATACAACTGGTTTGAGACAATCCGTCCCTCCTCCGCCTTCCCACACCCCTTCACCTCCATGCTCCCGTCCTTCCCACTGCAGAAAACGCCCTTACTGATCCCACTCTTCACTGAGTTTTTCTCAGCTGCCAGGAGCTCGGTGAAGCTAGTGGGCTTCAAACCAAAATGTTTAGCAGCAGACAGAGAGCATTCCTTCCCAATACCGGAAACGCCTCGGCCAATCCCCCTCTTCACACCTGCTGACAGGCAAGTGGGGCTGTTGCGAAGGCTATCAGCAGAGGAGGAGGAGGTGTCCGAGGAGAGGTGGATGAGACACGCACTGCGGCTGCTGCAGCTACTCTCACTGCGAATCAAGCTGCACCACCCGCTGCTCGCCTCTGCTTCCACCTTCCCACCCTGCTGCGCCTCGGATCCGGTTTTCACACCCAACCAGGCCGCGACCTTGGCTGAGGAGGCAGTAATCTCAGCAACTGAGTCAACTGAGGAGGTACGTGACGGAATCAAGTCTTCTTGAGCAAGCAGCTCCAGGAACGAAGTGGCTTTCTTCTTCAGCTCCTTCGGTCCCTCTGCTTTCTCAGCCTCCTCTGCCTCCTCAGCTTCCTCAACTTCAGTCAAAACGACAGCAGTCACGGTTGAAGCATCCACAGTCACGGCTTCCAGTTCTGCATCTGTTGACGCCGCAGCCTCTTCCAGAAGAGTGACAACAGGGAGAGCGGGAACCGACTGCACCTCCACTGCTGCTTGCTCGCACGGCCTGATCCAACTGGAGACGGCCTGCAGGATAAAAAAAGAGAATAAATTAGTGGCTGTTTATGAGAAGCGCCATGATTTGACTGGGAAACGACCGATGATACACATGAACTAGACATTGCTGGTAAAAAGGACGAGGGTTTTCCCGAATTTAAGCGAACGATTTGGAGGAAGTGGCTCTTACCAGGCGTGGAGCTGCTATCATGCTGCAGACGAAGCGAGATAGGGAGTCGTTTTGCTCCCAGCAGCTCGCGAACAGAGCGTCGACGTCCATGCAGGCACTCTCAGCACCGATGCAGGCCATTTTGCTGATGGACGAGTTAGGAAGGAAGGTTAAAAATTCCGCGACAGAGCTTGTACGCGAGATTATGAGCACTCAAGCAGGCTTAGATCTAAGCTGGTAGTAACGAGGGAGCAAGGTAGGAGGACTTGAAAGTAGCTTCAATCGAGACTGATGAATGAAATGGAACTTCTGAAGGCCTACTTATACGATTTCCGTCTAGTGGGTACAGCGACTCTGATGAGCGTCGAGTAAGAAACGAGTGTGAGAGAGCGAGCGAGTGAATGCGAGGAAAGGCACGCGAGGGGTGGGAGGGTGGCAGGGAAAGCGAGGAAAGCAGGGGAACTCGCCGATGGTCGCTGCCGGAATTCGCAAAGTCTGTGGGGTGGGCTTGTGGGGGCTTGCGACGGTCGGAGCCCATGGCGACATCGCCGGGGAACCTTGGGGTATCGGAGTGTCGCGCGAGTGTCCGTTTTACTAGCGGCGATTCAGCGTGCGCCACCTGTGCTTATGTGCCAGCGAGGCGGGGTCGTTTGGAAGCGCGTAGTGCTCGAGTTTGCGCCGCAATCGGGAGTACCGAGAGCCACGATAATACGTGGAAGGCGGGAAACAGGTCAGGTTCGTAAGCCGAAGAAGTCTCGGCACACGCGGTACGGTCCCCCGAACCTAGCGCCCAGGCCTAGAGAACTGCGGGATAGGGTCTGGCAAAGATAGGTTCTGGCAAAGAGGTCTGGCAGAGGAAGTTCAACTCGGCAGGGAGGAAAAATCAAGTGCGGGGTATGCGCTACAAAGCTCTCCGTATTTCCCCGGAAATCGTTTTGCTTAGAACCAATAGTCTGTACACAAAGGAAAAAAACTCAAGACGTATGAATGCAGAAAGCAAGTGAAGTGCAAGATTTCTACTCTTGATCAAAGACTGCCAACAGAAATTGCTCTAATAAACAACAGTGGTCATTTCCTTGCTATGACTTAATGACATGATGACACTAGCAAGGAGATTTCATTCTGAGTACAGATAAATTATTCAGAAAGTCTTCACTCACTTCAGTCATCTATCATATTGAGAAAGCTTGCTTTCTTGTCCTTATAATTTGGCATCGTTCTCATTGCAACTGGCTTATTACAACATATGCATCGTTCTTAAACACATGCTAGTACATGCAAATATTACTAGCTATTGAGTCGTCCGTCCAAGCAGCTGTGGTCTTGTAGTTGGTCCGGGGTGGGTGGTGGGGATGTTGATTGAGCCGTTGGAAAACGAGAAACGTGGGTGGAGGGAATGAACTCCAACCCACGGTTTTTGTAGTTGGAGAAGGGCGTTTAGCGCGCTTCGACGCTGCCAAATATTCGGTACAGGCAGCTTCGCTTTCACAATACACAATTTTGAAAAACATCAATGTGTTTAAAAATTATAATATTGAGAAAGCTTGCTTTCTTGTCCTTATAATTTGGCATCGTTCTCATTGCAACTGGGGCCTCTGAGACATGGGCAGTGGTGGCTTCCGGTTGCGTAAGAGTGCCGCCGCATGCTGTTCTGGGGGCAGTGCGTATGTCGGGTCCTGTAGGTCGCGGGATGCCTTGATAAGATGCCCGATGTATGGTGTGACTTACATCTCTTTGGCTGTGTCACTTCGCCACCTGCCCATCCTTTTGAAGATCCTGTCCGGAACGCCGATGTTGGCTGCTACGGTTGCCGCGCCCTTTCGGAAGGAGTGCGTGCCGAGCTGCTGCTCCCCAAGTCCAACTTTTGCGAATGCTTCTTTACACCAGTTCCGGATCGTTGTGTACGAGGGTGGCTTGGCCTGGCCCTTGTTGGCTGAAGCTTGGCCAAAAACGCGAATCAGCGACCCTTCTGAATGCGGGCCATAGCCTGCGAGTTGGATGAAGCGTTGGGTGCAGCGCACTGGGCAACAGGGGTCCGTCGTTGCTGCGATGGGGATCCAAGTTCCACGACCAGCCTGGTCCGTTTTGGAGTGTGGGATGAGGATCCACATGACTTCGTCGTCGAATTGGATGTCTTGCCACTGGATGGCAACCAGGTCGGAGTATCGCAAAAATCCGGAGTACATGAGGATAGGGATCAACCCCTTCTGAAATTCAGCAGGATTGGCCGACTGCAAGTAGTTCGCGGACATGTCCCGAACTTGTTGGATTGATACAGGCTCCTTCAAACGACTAGGGCGAGGGCAGTGTCGTTTCGCGTAGTCCCGCACTTGGGTGGTGAACGGTCCGACAGTCGGGCATTTGCTTCCAGTCATGCGATGGGCGAAGCTGACTGCCGAGCACGTGAGCTGTACTACAGACAAGGTTGCTTTGCGTTGGATTGCATGCACCAAGTATAGCGCGAGGGCCATGTCGGACGCGGGAAGAAAGGGAAGATCCACCTTTGTGCAGAAGGCCCGAAACTTGGTCCAGTACGGTTCGTATGTACGGATCGTCGAATTCGCTCGCGATTGTGTGAGCATGTTGATGAGTTGGTTGTGTAGCTTTGGTAGCAGATCTGGACACAAGGCACGTACGCTCTCAATTAGTCGAATACCACCCGAAGTGCGATCATTGGGCTGTGTGGTAATCCGGTGCCTGAAAAGGCAGTGGAATGTGTTCCCGCTGCCAGGCACTGGCTGCCGTGTGTCAAGGGAATGTGCGCGTGGATGTACGGTGCCCAGTTTCGTGGGGAAGGTTGTATGAGTGGCCACCAGTTTGCACCCGGCCAGTGTGGGATGATCAGTGTGAGCGATGCATGGGTGCGTTGTGCGTGATGGAGGACGGCCGGTACTAAGTGGGGCGGGGGGAAAGCAAAGCTATTTTCTGCTGTCCAGGCGAGCGAAAATGCGTCTACTGCGGTGGCTAGTGGGTGAGGAATTTTCGTGCAGAAGCGTGGCAGCTGAGAGTTGCGGGGATTTGCAAAGAGGTCGATGGAATGGGGACCCCAACGTCGTTCTAAGATGCGGAACCACGGCGTCTTCAACGAGTAGTCGTCATGATCGACTGCTTTTGAGAGCTCATCAGCGTGTGAGTTTAGCTCGCGTGGGATCCATTCGATGATTAGACGCGTGCCGTGCTCCATACACATCCGAATGATGGCTTGGCAGGCCGTGGTAAGGTCGGGGCTGCGCGAGCCACCTTTGCGAAGGATGAAGAAGACGCCCTGATTGTCCACCCGCACAAGAACATGTTTGTGTCTGATCTTGCTGGAGTATGTTTGGAGTGCCCAAAGCACTCCTTCGATCTCCCTCCGTGTGCTGGACGTCGCTCGCAGCGGCTCTGGCATTGTTGCGCTGGCTTCTTCGAGGCCGCCAGGGAAGGTGGTCAAAGTGGCGCCCCAACTGTGAGCGCTAGCGTCCACATGGATTACAGCATCGTAGCTGTTTCGAACGTGAAACGGCGCACCGTTGAACCGATCAAACTCTTCGAGCCAGAAGTTTAGCTCCTCAGCCGCAGGTGGGGGGATGATCACGCTGCTTTTCCATGAAGGTGCGTCACTGATTACTTGTAGCATGGCGTGGCTGAAGGCACGAGCTGTTGCACCCAGCGCGACGCCCATTGACGCGAGCATGCCTGTGATTCTGGCCACTTGGCGAACTGAGACGGGTCGACAGGCCTTGCTTGCGCTCAACAGGTTCCGAATGGTTGCATGAAGTGAGGCTCGTCGTTCGGGACCGATGGTAAATCGGCCGGTGACCGTGCTCCACACCCAAGAATCGAAGGTGTTGCGATGGTGACAGTTGTGATTTCTTCGCGTTTATCACCAAACCCGCTGCTTTAAGGTCCAGTATCACACGGTGGCACGTGGCCTGCGCGTGGGCTTTTGACCGGCAGAGGAATAAGATGTCGTCCACGTATGGTACTACTCGAATGCCTTGCTCTCGCCAGCGACGGGCTAGCTGCTTGATGAGTTGCGTGAAGACGAATGGGGCTGTCGCAAGACCGAACGGCAATGAACGAAAGGAGTAAGTGCGCCCATCGAATCCGAAACCGAGAAACTTCCAGCACGAGGGATGGATGTCGATGTGATGGTACCCGGATTTGAGATCGATAGAAAACATCCAATCCCACGCGCGTGCCACGTCTGCCACGCGGCTGAGTCCTTCGTACTTGAATTTTGGAACGATGAGGTTTGCGTTGACTTTTCTCAGGTCAAGGATGAGCCTACATTTTTCTCTCTGCTCGACCACGTTAAGTGGGCTTATGCACGTAAGCTCGCTTGCGGCTGTCTCGACTGCAGCCCCGGTCTCTGTGAGTTCTTGGATGGCAGTACGTGTGAACGTAGCATGCGCGTATGCACCGGCGTGGTTCCGCTCCCGGAAGGCCGGTGGTGGGCCGTGGCTCCATGGAAGCCAGTAACCGTTGGCGATTATGGATAGAACAAGGCTGCAAGGGCACCATGAGCTCCACCACGCAAAGGTCGAGCGAAGCCGACCGCACATCCGTGTGACGGTTTTGTCCGTGACGGCGAATTCGTACGGGTCTTCGTCGCGAGGCACCTCGTGATGTTGTGCTCCTGTATGTATGGCAAGGAAATGAACGGGACCAATCAAGTTACACGCCTTAATTAGTGAATGCGTGTGACATATACATGCATGCGCGAAAGATGAACCGTCAGCAGTGAGAACCATACGGACGGGTTGTCATCATTCCATATTGGGCGTCCGATCGCACCTTGGCAAACTCTTTCCCAGACTCCCTTTTTTTTTTTTTTTTTTTTTTTTTTTTTTTTGCCTTGCTCTAAGATTGATGCTTGGGACCCATGATCATGCTTCACTCTTGATCTCTCTCTCTCTCTCTCTCTCTCTCTCTCTCTCTCTCTCTCTCTCTCTCTCTCTCTCTCTCTCTCTCTCTCTCCTCCTCTCTCTCTCTCTCGCTCTCTCTCTCTCTCTCTCTCTCTCTTTTTGTGCGTGTTTCCATCATTGTTTGAGCATTTGCATGCTTCGCTTGCAATGGGCTCGTGTCTTTCCGCGCGTGCCCTCACTTTGCCGATGCGACATTGCTATGCCCCCCCTTCTCGCCCTATTTTTTTTTTTTTT